TGTGTACAGGTGATCCCACAGACTCCTCTCCCCCTTCCCTTGCCCCATGGCAGTCGCCCTGGCCACCCCCTCCAGGCCCCATGTTAAGTCCGGGCAGGGAGGGGCCCAGCCCCCCTTGGCAGTCGTACTCCTGGGTTTTCTCTTCAGCTCTGGAAGGGGAGTGGGACCTAGTGGTTAGAGCAGGGGGGCTGGGAGGACTCCTAGGTTCTCCCCCCCCTCGCTCTGAGAGGCTAGTGGCAGGGGGGAGGAGGCAGCAGGACGCCTGGGTTCCATCCCCAGCTCTGCCGGGAGCTTGTGAGAAGGGCAGCGATGGCTCTGTCCCCCGGGGTGCCACCTCCCTGTCCCGCTGCCAATGTGCCCCACAGAGGCACAGCTGAGAGCCCGTGGGGCAGCGGGATGGGCAACACCCGCCTGGGCCCACTGTTAAATCTCCTGCCTGCCAGGCAGAGAACCCAGGGGTCCTGGCTCTCACTCCCTAAGCCCCCTCTTCCCCCACCCTCACCGCCTCCCTCCCACACACGGGGGCTGCCCCCCGAGGCCAACCTGAACAGTCCTCTGGTTAATTGGGAAGGCGCAATTGCAGGGAGCAGCCCCAAGAGTGGAAGCCAGGACTCCTGGGATCGATCCCTGACTCCGGGAGGAGAGTGGGATCTAGCAGTTGGAGCAGGACTCCTGGGACCGATCCCTGACTCCGGGAGGAGAGTGGGATCTAGCAGTTGGAGCAGGACTCCTGGGACCGATCCCTGACTCCGGGAGGAGAGTGGGATCTAGCAGTTGGAGCAGGACTCCTGGGACCGATCCCTGACTCCGGGAGGAGAGTGGGATCTAGCAGTTGGAGCAGGACTCCTGGGACCGATCCCTGACTCCGGGAGGAGAGTGGGATCTAGCAGTTGGAGCAGGACTCCTGGGACCGATCCCTGACTCCGGGAGGAGAGTGGGATCTAGCAGTTGGAGCAGGACTCCTGGGACCGATCCCTGACTCCGGGAGGAGAGTGGGATCTAGCAGTTGGAGCAGGACTCCTGGGACCGATCCCTGACTCCGGGAGGAGAGTGGGATCTAGCAGTTGGAGCAGGACTCCTGGGACCGATCCCTGACTCCGGGAGGAGAGTGGGATCTAGCAGTTGGAGCAGGACTCCTGGGACCGATCCCTGACTCCGGGAGGAGAGTGGGATCTAGCAGTTGGAGCAGGACTCCTGGGACCGATCCCTGACTCCGGGAGGAGAGTGGGATCTAGCAGTTGGAGCAGGACTCCTGGGACCGATCCCTGACTCCGGGAGGAGAGTGGGATCTAGCAGTTGGAGCAGGACTCCTGGGACCGATCCCTGACTCCGGGAGGAGAGTGGGATCTAGCAGTTGGAGCAGGACTCCTGGGACCGATCCCTGACTCCGGGAGGAGAGTGGGATCTAGCAGTTGGAGCAGGACTCCTGGGACCGATCCCTGACTCCGGGAGGAGAGTGGGATCTAGCAGTTGGAGCAGGACTCCTGGGACCGATCCCTGACTCCGGGAGGAGAGTGGGATCTAGCAGTTGGAGCAGGACTCCTGGGACCGATCCCTGACTCCGGGAGGAGAGTGGGATCTAGCAGTTGGAGCAGGACTCCTGGGACCGATCCCTGACTCCGGGAGGAGAGTGGGATCTAGCAGTTGGAGCAGGACTCCTGGGACCGATCCCTGACTCCGGGAGGAGAGTGGGATCTAGCAGTTGGAGCAGGACTCCTGGGACCGATCCCTGACTCCGGGAGGAGAGTGGGATCTAGCAGTTGGAGCAGGACTCCTGGGACCGATCCCTGACTCCGGGAGGAGAGTGGGATCTAGCAGTTGGAGCAGGACTCCTGGGACCGATCCCTGACTCCGGGAGGAGAGTGGGATCTAGCAGTTGGAGCAGGACTCCTGGGACCGATCCCTGACTCCGGGAGGAGAGTGGGATCTAGCAGTTGGAGCAGGACTCCTGGGACCGATCCCTGACTCCGGGAGGAGAGTGGGATCTAGCAGTTGGAGCAGGACTCCTGGGACCGATCCCTGACTCCGGGAGGAGAGTGGGATCTAGCAGTTGGAGCAGGACTCCTGGGACCGATCCCGGACTCCGGGAAGGGAGTGGGGTCTAGCAGTTGGAGCAGGGCTCCTGGGATCGATCCCCCATATGGCCCTCTGGGGGCATTTGCCACCTGCAATGGATAAGCTCTAGGTCTGGTGCCCATTTGGCACGGTCTCTCCCAAGAAGCAGGGCTTTCGTAGCCGTTTGTTTGGAGGCCCCAGCGCCTCCTGCTGGCAGGCATGAATCTGATCTGATTGGGTGCACAGTGCCCCCTGCTGGATGGGATCAGACCTACCACGTGCACACCATGTCTGCCCTGGGTGTGAGATGGGAAAACCCTGAACCCTGTTCTTCCAGGCCCTCCTCTTCTCTCCCCAGCTCCCACAACCTCGCCGCCCCAAGAAGATGAAGGCTGCTGGGGCCCTGCTCGCCTTCGGGGTCCTGTTTGGAGGTACCGCGGGGACGCCAAGAGAGCAATTCTCAGCCCCCTTTCCGGGAGGGGGGGTGGACCTGGGGTCCATGCTATCAGCCTGCTGCTGCTTGCTGAACTGCAGGGCAGTGGGGCAGGCGATGGTTCATACATCCTACATCGCTCTGCATCTACACACAGACCTGGCCAAGTGGGTGGATGGGGCGTCTGATTGGTTTTCCAGCCTGCCTATCAGCTCACCTTTGGAGGTTGGAATCCCTCCCCCAGCCAGCATGGTCTGTCTCTGTTGTCCCCCTGAATTGAGCGCTCTAGCAGGGAGTGGGTGGTCCTAGGAGAACAAGCCACCCACTCCCTGCTAGAGGGGTTCCTGCAGTGGGGGAGGGGTCTGAAGGTGTGTGTTGGGGAGCTCTCCATGTCGAGGGGAAACAAAAAAGTGTTCTCCATGGGATGGAAGGAACATACATGGGTTGGATGGGTGGATGGATTGTTAAATGGATGGGTGGATGGATGTAGTGGTTGAGTGGATAATTGGATGACTAAATTGTGGCTTGCTTCGTCTACATGTTTTGTTAGTCTATAAAGTGCTACCAGACCATTTGTTGTTTTTTAAGTTTATCCTGTACAGATTAATGCGGCTACCCCCTGAAGCTGCTGTTGGTCTGTTAGTGTATTCCAAGTCATGTCCAAAAATCACATGCAAATAAATTGCAGGTTTCACCTCTATAAACCCAAACTCTCTCGTCTGGCAACTTTGTGGTTTGGATGGATGGATGGATGGATGGTGAATAGTTGGATAGATGGATGGATGGTAAACGGTTGGGTGGATGGACCGCTGGCTGGCTGGGTTGGTGGGTGAATGATGGATAAACAGTTCATTGGATGAATTTGTGCCTAAATGTTTGGGGGGAGAGAGGCAGGAGGCAGGGAGGGATGAGTGGGCAGGACGACGAATGGATTGCTAAAGGAATGGGTGGGTGGCTAAATGGTGGCTTGTTTGGATGGGTGGATGGGTGTCTTTGGGGAGACAGGGGCAGGGGAGGAAGGGATGGGTGAGCAGGTGGGTGGTTTAATGAAAAATTGGTTGGGTGGAATGGAGAGTCTGGTGGATATGTACATTGTGGTTGGTTGGTTTGGATGGATGGATGGATGGATGGAGAGGGATGGACAGACGGATGGGGGGATGGCGAGAGAGGGATGGCTGGATAGAAGGGGACAGATGGACAGATGGATGGAGAGGGATGGACAGACGGATGGGTGGATGGCGAGAGAGGGATGGCTGGATAGAAGGGGACAGATGGACAGATGGATGGAGAGGGATGGACAGACGGATGGGTGGATGGCGAGAGAGGGATGGCTGGATAGAAGGGGACAGATGGACAGATGGATGGAGAGGGATGGACAGACGGATGGGTGGATGGCGAGAGAGGGATGGCTGGATAGAAGGGGACAGATGGACAGATGGATGGAGAGGGATGGACAGACGGATGGGTGGATGGCGAGAGAGGGATGGCTGGATAGAAGGGGACAGATGGACAGATGGATGGAGAGGGATGGACAGACGGATGGGGGGATGGCGAGAGAGGGATGGCTGGATGGAAGGGGATAGACAGACAGATAACAAGCCAGGGTCTGGCAGCGGGGCAGAGCCCAGGAGAGCGGGAAAGTCGAAGGGAAGGAGACCTGCTGGGGACAGCAGGAGCCAGGCCATTGAGGTGGCATGCTGGTTCCTGCACCCGCTGTGCCGTGCCGCGCCGCGCCCCTCATTCCCGTCTGCCCGCCAGGTGCACAGGGGGGGCCGTGGAGCGCGTGGATGCCCCAGACCATCACGGCCTTCGAGGGCACGTGCGTAGCCATCCCGTGCCGCTTCGACTACCCGGATGAGCTGCGCCCCTCGGCCGTGCACGGTATCTGGTACTTCAACAGCCCCTACCCCCGCAACTACCCGCCCGTGGTGTACAAGTCCCGCACCAGCATCGTGCACGAGAGCTTCCAGGGCCGCACCCGCCTGTTGGGCGCCC